CAAAAATGCGCACTCCACTTTGGGACAAAAATAAAAGAGGAAAACTGGTGAGAGATTTGAAACTCGAGTCTCCACATTTTTATCTCTATTTAATCTCATGGCAGTCTTATAGAAACAATTGAGATATTATAGAGATCTCAGTGTTTTTCAGTCCAAATGCATGCTCCGATCATCTGTTTTTGTCAGAATTTAATGATAAACATTTGAAGTTCACAGTAAAAATACCTCGGAGTTTAGATTTAGGCAAATCTGAGCACAGTTTGAGACATTAAATGTCCTCTGAAACTCAAAAGGAGACACATATGAAGGCTTTTTTCCCCTCAAGAGAAACATCTGAGAAGCATGAAACTCAAAAGTCATTATTTTCTTTCCATTTAATATATTGGGAGTCTAGAAGAAAACTTTGCAATGTTACCGAGATCTTTTTTTCTTCTTCTGTCCAAATGCATGCTCAGATCATTTGTTTTGGGAGAATTTAATGAAAACTGCACAACGTTTACACTGAAATTACATTTAGGCAAATCTGAGCACAGCTGAGACATTAAAATATCCTCTAAAATCTTAAGGAGACACATATGGGGTCTTTTTTCTGAGAGGCATGAAACTTAAACATAAACTCTTATTTTCTCCATTTAATCTCACGGCATGTTTGTAGCAGCAATATATTTACGAAAGAGATCTCATTCACAACTTTTCTTTCCTACAAGGTTGTTCGATTCCAGATATTCTCTAAATCGAAGAGCAGAGAGATCATCTGTCCCTGCCTCTGACAAGGCCATTGCTCCAGACTCACAAAAGAATACTCCAACTTCATTGAGTGAAAGGCAACACAAAGCAAACAAACCCCCAAACCGCTGTCACGCCACCCCTCCCCAGCAGGCCTCCGCTGCTCTCCCCTCCTTCTCAGCTCCCGCTATTCAAGGGAAATGTGTATTTCCCACACTGGAGTTGTCCAGCAGGGTCTGCCCGGCAGGGGTTTTGCCTCGGGGTGAACGGGGAGACGGACTAGAGGTTACATCAACACACACACCGCTGCGGCATGTCACATCCTCACCGCCGGTTGCCTTGGCGCTATTAGCCAGCAGCTCCGGGCCAGGAGAGCAAAAACCGAGCTGCTCTACGTCTGTACCTCGAGGATTTTTTTTTTCTTTCGCCAAGTCGTTTATTACACATGGGTTTTTAAAAGCCTCCTTATCCCATTTACTCAGAATTATGATTACTATATGATCATTTCACAGTGCTGGTAACCTGCAATTATGGCGACGTTGATGAAGGACAAAGGTGAACATCTGCATTTAATAAATACTGCCCTGACAAACGGCACCCTTTAATCACTCACTGTCTGTTTTATATGCTACTGATGCGTTTGACAGACAAAACGCTCCAGACAGAAAAACTCAACTGTAATTACAATAGAAAGAAACACTGAATGAAAAAAGAACCATTGTTTCATTTGTTAACAAATACATTAGTTAGCATGAACTAATTAAGTTAATTTTAGCATTTACTAATACATTATTAAAAGCAAAAGTTAGATCTGTTCATTTTAATAAATGGACCTGAACTGTCATGAACTAACAATGCACAACTGTGTTTTCATTAAGATTAATAAATACTGCAATAAACATCCTGCATTAACTAATGGTAACTAATTACACAAATAATGAATGAAGACAGAACCAACAAGTGAATGAAAGTGTGACAGAGGAAGAGGAATAGGGAAAAGACTGCAAACAAATGAAAAAGACAGGAAAAATTAAAGGGTAATGGCAAATGGACAAATTAAGAAAGAATTAACATACAGAAAAAATAAAAAGGTAAGAGGTAAGAACGACTGTGCAACAATAAAAAACAAAAAAAGAAAAAAAAGAAAGAAGCGAAGAATAAAAACGACAGGAGAGAATGAAATACCAACTTAAAGTCAAAGTGAAAGAAAGCAAAAAAAAAAAAAACAAAGGAAAGAGAGAAAGCAATAAAGAGCAAAAGAAAGCAAAAAAGCATGAATGTGAAAAAAATAATGAATGAATGAATAAGTGAACAACAGTTTCTGAAAAAGACAAAAAGCAAAAGAAAGTGCAAACCAAGAAAGAAAAATGAAGAAAAAAAGAAATTAAAAAACAAATAAATGTGCCAGACAAAATAGGCAATGAAAAAGGACAAAAGAAATAGCAAAAGGAACTACTCGGTTACAACAGATTTCAGATTACGATGACTCTGCCATCACATCTGGAGCACAAGTCTCAAAACACAGAACCACCAAACCTGCATCACCATTCTCTCTGCAACATCATCTCAAACACACACACGCATCCAGCGCTGACCTGGCCGTCCCGCGGTGACGAACAGGTGCCGGTCATTAGGCCCGACGCTGCTACCTTCCCCTGTAAGATGTGCGTAAATCCTTGTTGTGGAAAATGAAAGAGTGAAAGTAGTTCTAATTACAAAATGTAAATATTGAGTTTTCCCACAATGGGAAACAGACCACCCAAGATGCAAAACAACCCCCATCCCCCTCCCTCCCGCTCCCCTTCTCTGTCTCTTTCTCTCGGCTGTCCTGTCAGAGCGACCGAAGAAGGAAACCGTTTGAGCATCACCAAACGTAAATGCACACATACCAGACGTGCACATGCGTACATGAGCGGCCGCTGACATCACTGCATCATGCTTGCGTAACAATCCATTAGCCGTGACCTCCAAACGTAACATCTATTCCTCTGGTCCTTGTGCAAAAGCTCGCTAAACACCCAGAGGTTCAGTGCACGCTTTCGGAGTCACAGGTGAACGTCAAATACTTGCCTTTATGGTGCTAAATACCTTTAAATGGCCTCCATGAGACTGTTCTCCACATATGGAATTGAGCAACATGTGGTCGGCATGGACCGAGCCCCGGGAGTTGCCATTTGTTGACGTTTGTTTGTACGGAGAGCATGTCGGTGAGTGATGGGCAATGGAAGTGAATGAGGGCTCAGCTGGGATCTAGAGCTCTGCCCCTCTGAACTCGAGATGTCTTCATTCTGAAGGTGTTCTAGAGGCCCTAAAACACCTCAGTTCAGAGCTGTTCTTCACCCCTTAGATGCTGGTTTGGTTCTACACTCTTAAAAATAAAGGCTCCAAAGGGGAGTTTGCACAGCAATGCCATAGAAGAACCATTTTGGGTTCCTTAAAGAACCTTTCAATGAATAGTTAAAAAACTGGAATGGAATGCTGGAGTGGAATGGAAAAGTTCCATCATTTCTAAAAAGTAAGTTTTGGAAGAAACATTTTGGTTCCTCAAAGAACCTTTCAGTGAACAGTTCTTAAAAGAACAATTTTAAAAATAAAAAGATTCTTTACAGGCATTTATGGTTCCACGAAGAACCTTGAACATTCAAAGTATCTTTTCATTGCACAAAATGTTTTTTGCACTCTTAAAAATAAAACCACTTTGGGTTCCCAAAAGAACCCTTTCAGTGAACAGTTCTTAAAAGAAGCATTAGTGTGAAGAACATTTTAATAATCTAAAGAACCTTTTGTGCAATGGAAAAATTCCATGAATGTTAAAGGTTCTTCATGGAACCATACATGCCAATAAAGAACCTTAATTTTTAAGAGTCTACAGTGGAAAAATGTTCTTTAGATAATCAAAATGTTCTTAAGAAATGTTCAATGTATGGTTCTCTGGGGAACCAAAATGTTTCTTCCAAGGTATCACCATTTGCTTTCTTTTTAAAAGTGCATTTTTCCCCCCACTAGAAAGAACCTTTTGTGGAATGGAAATCTTCTTCATGGATGTTAAAGGTTCTTCATGGAACCATCAATGCCAATAAGGTATTCTGTTCTGACAGCCAAATGTTGCCTAATTGTTACATAATTAACCTACCTACAAACAAGCATATCGCAATGCTGTCTGCTCTTTGAAAACACATTTCAACACAGTAACTTAATTCCTATGAGAGTTATCATTAATAGAATCTATATCAATCAATTCCAACTTTTATTTTAGATGGGCATGGGAAATAAAAGTGACTGGAATTTGAGTTTTATGAGTTTTAGAACACAAGTATTCTAGTTAAGCATCTTTATGCCATCAAGAAATGCTTTCAATGCAACAGTCAGAAACGATGTAATATATAAACTCTAGAGATGCCTCTTTTTTTTTTATACTAGATGGCATCATTCTAGAGGTGTTTCAGTGGTGCACGACCCTGTGAACTCTAAACGGCTTTATTCTACAGGTGCTTGAGAGGGATCTGCAGACGATTGCGACAAACCCCTTAAGTTAAGAAAACCTAGTGATCATTTGTTTATAATTATAACTAAGAGTTGTTTTAGCTTAAGAAGTTTGTTGCAACCGGGCCCTGCCCTTTCGCTCTAGAATGATCCATTCTACACACTGAAAAATAAAGGCTCCTTATTATCATCGATGGTTCCATGAAGAACCTTTAACATCCACGGAATGGACTTTCCATTGCACAAAAGATGATGTGTTTTTTTTAAGAACCGTTCACTAAAAAGTTCTTTGAGGAACCAAAAATGGTTCTGCGAAAACCCCATTTTAAAATGGGACCCATCTACAACACATCCAGAGACTGAACTCTAAATCATTTAATTTTAGAGCCATTCTAGAGAATTGGTTTACAACACCTAATTGCTAAATTTCTGAATTTTCCCAAACATTTGACACCGTGCATGTGCAATGAGCAAAAAAAGACAGACTGTGTAACACTAACATGTCTGCTTTCTTTAACATCTAGCAAAAGCAATACAAGTGCGGTATATTTTACAGTTTGGTGCATCATTATTGCTGTCAGTGAGCAAATAAATATATCACAAAATTCTCATAAACACACCTGCACAGCATAAACAGTTCAAAGATGTTAATAATACCTCTTTAAGTCTACTTCAGCGCTGTTTGGGGAAAACTGCGTCCCATAAGTTGTTCTTACTGAGCACAAATCATCAAACAGTTCATTCTTCAGCCAAAAGGCACATTTCATGTGGAGGGTGAAAGGGGAACTTACCTTGCGGGTTTCTGCTGGCAGAAGCGCCGGCTGGCTGCTGGACAAAGGCGATCAGAGCGACGCTGAATAATCCAAAGCCAGCGCGCATCAGAACAGACATGAACATCATGTTAAACACCTTGAACCTTCAAATAAAAGCGGACAATTGCGAGACTTTGAGTCCAAGCGTGGATGAAGCTTTATTCCCGGCGCTGGAAACGGAGCGTCTGTTAAATGAGAGAGAGAGTGTGTGTGTGTGTGTGTTTTATTTCTTGGTCTTGCGGAGATTGTGTGCGCGGAGAGCAGGAGGAGAAACACGGTCGGGTTGAGCGCTCATGATCTTCAGTCCTGCAGGAGACATAGACACAGAGAGAGAGAGAGAGAGAGAGAGAGAGGAAGGGGGAGGAGAGATGCACCACAGCGCGTTGCTCTCTCTCTCTCTTCTCTGATGGTAAGGCAATGGTTCTTTATTGGGAAATGCAAAATCAATGAAAAGTTCTAGACATAATAAATGCAAACACATTAATTGTGCGGTTAATGTTTTTGCTAATTATTTAAAATGTAAGAACACAAGAAATTGTCAAACTAAAATACCAAACACGCTTTTGGCTGCATAAGAAAATAAATGGCTTAAGTATTGCATGTTTATTTCTAAAGGGCTGTTATTCATCCAGTTATTATCATGCTGTGACTGTTTTCATGCATTAAAGAACCGTTAAATAAAACATTCATTTCTACAATAGTTTATCATACCGTCAGTTAGATTATCCATTTTAGCCTACTTAAAAGTTATTTATTTAAAGTTAAAAATGCTAGTATTGTCCTTCAGACTTAAAAAGCTCAAATTTGGCTGCAGACAAAAGCAAATCTCTTTACTAGCTCATTTACCTGTTCAATTTGAATTTCATTTGTACAGTTTTAATGGTTAAGTGTTCAATAACAGATTGGGAGGAAAGGTCCTTTTAAAGGGGTCATATGATGCGATTTCAAGTTTTTCTTTCTCTTTGGAGTGTTACAAGCTGATTGTGCATAGATAAGATCCCTGAAGTTGCAAAGACTAAAGTCTCAAAACCAAAGAGATATTCTTTATCAAAGTTAAGACTCTGCCACGCCCCCCTAAAACGGCTCGTTCTAATACGCCCCCACATATCTACCTCACTATGTGGAAATATTTGCATAATGTGGGCCAAATGTGCATGCAAAGAAAGAAGGCGTGGTTTCAGTAACCGCAGTTAGTGTTGAAGCAGCATGTCAGGGAGACGCTGTGTGTTTCTAGACGAAAGCAAAAGCACTTTATTTGGCCTTCCGAAAGTAGATGCATTTAGGAATCTTTAAGATGACTTACAACAGAACAGCAATGCATTTTATGGACGACCGTTTCGTGAACTTAGGAGAGGAGGTAATTCTGACTTTGCTATGACAATCTGGCGCTTCTGAATCAGCTACTGTTTTGTTATTAGTTTAAGTATTTGCTATTGACTGTTCAAATGCAGAGTTTTGTGCATCGTGTGAGTGAGTGAGTGAGAGACAGGGTCACATCACAGTGGAGTCAGCTGTCTTAACCGTGGCTTGTGTACTGCAAACACATACCAGCTTCATCACTGTGTCTGTCACGCGACTCTGTGCCCCTTCGGGCTTGAACTGATGGTAAAACTAATGACATTATTTACTGTCTTAACATTTATTTTGAAAGATGAAGCTCGCGATTATAGTAAGGGGCGTTACATTTCCGACGAGTGCTTGCGGTGTTCGGCCAATCACAATGCACTGGGTCAGCTGGCCAATCAGAGCAGACTGCGCTTGTCAGAAGGAGGGACTTTGTAGAAAACGAAGCGTTTGAGAGAGGCGGGGCATAGAGGACCTACAATAATGTACAGTATTTGAAAAAGAATGTGTTTTTTGAACATTAAAGCATGTCAACATATTCTGTTACACCAAATACACAAAATAATGATCTTTAAAAAAGCATCATATGACCCCTTTAAAGGAATAGTTCACCCAGAAATTCCTCTTGAAGGGATAGTTCACCCCAAAATGAAAATTCTGTCATTAATTAGCGTATTGACCCGAATATAAGACAATGTTTTTTTCTTGGAAATACATCTGAAAAAACGCGGTCGTCTTATATTCAGGGTCTAGACGTTGACATGTCAATAATACACCCACAACAATACGTGGTGCCAAATACGCATAAAACGAGTGTGACATGAAATACGTAATGTAATGCATGTTGTAAAGATCACAAGTAAAAACAAAAACAAAAGAAAAAGAAAAGCTTACAGCTGCATGAGTCGTGACTGTCACGTTAGCCTGATGGGACCAAACTCTCTTTGTGATTTTAAAATGTAACACAAATTAAGATATTTTTGATGAATTCTGAGAGCTCTCAGACCCTGCATAAACAGCAACGCAACTGAAATGTTCCCAGGAAAATCAGTCCATGTGACAATTTCAGTTTTGCGAAGCTACGAGAATACTTTTTGAGCGCAAAGAAAACAAAAATAACAATTTATTTAACAATTCTTCTCCCCCGAGTTATGTCTTCCGCCATTTTGGAGAGTACCCAAGAGCGTAATCGACGTAATCAGCATTGTTTACGTTCGGGGGAGAAAGCCGCGCATGAACGTAATCTGTGTAATCAGCGTTGTTTGCACTTAGGGGAAAGCGTGCATATGTGTTGTGATACTCTAAAATGGCGGAAGACGTAACTCGGGGGAGAAGAATTGTTGAAAAAATTATGTTATTTTCTTTGCGCTTAAAAAAGTATTCTCGTAGCTTCGTAAAACAGATGTCACATGGACTGTTTTACCGATGTCCTTGCTACGTTTCTGGGTCTGGGAACATTACAGTTGCGTTGCTGTCTATGCATGGTCTGTATTCATCAAAAATATCTTAATTTGTGTTCCGAAGATGAACGAAGGTCTTACGGGTTTGGAACACCATGAGGGGGAGTAATTAATGACAGAATTTTAATTTTTTGGGTGAACTATCCCTTTAAAAAAAAAAAAAAGTTGCTGACTGTTTACTCACTCTCCGGTCATCCGAGATGCAGATGAGTTTGTTTCTTCATCAGATTTGGAGAAATGTAGCATTGCATCACTTGCTCACCAATGGATCCTCTGCAGTGAATGGGTGCCGTCAGAATGACAGCTGATAAAAAAATTAATAATCCACAAGTAATCCACACCACTCCAGTCCATCAGTTAACATCTTGTGAAGTCAAAAGCTGCGTGTTTGTAAGAAACAAATCCATCAGGACGTTTTAACTTTAAAATGTTGCTTCTAGCTAAAATAGGAGTTATAAATATGAGTTACTAAAATACTGTTTTTGCTTGAACTGTGCATATTTCTCTCCTGATTCAGACAAGACAACTTTTCACTGGAAAAAGCCATATAATGCAGTATGACTAATAAAAATGTTGCAATAATGGATTTGTTTTTTTACAGCAGCATTTCTCTTCACAAGCTGTTAACTGATGGACTGGAGTGGTGTGGATTACTTGTGGATTATTGTATCAGCTGTCATTCTGACGGCACCCATTCACTGCAGAGGATCCATTGGTGAGCAAGTGATGCAATGTTACATTTCTCCAAATCTGATGAAGAAACAAACTCATCCACATTTTGGATGGCCTGAGGGTGAGTAAACCATTCCTGCATATCACTGCACAAACCAGCAGTTTCTCGTATGAACGGCAACACATTTCGCTTCACCAAGTGCGCAGACGAGTTTCTTTCTTTCTGACCTTGCAGGAATTCACAATCAGCAGCGGGACTGAGCGCGGGTGAGTGGGGGGTTGCCATGGAAACGGCTTCCGTGGGGCAACAGAGGTCAGACGCTCCGGGAGCCACGCGCAATTCATGGATTCCCTCTCATCTCGCCACAAACTCCTGAAAGCATGTGCAGCCGAGACACGTCGAGCGACTGATAATTGATCCTCGGTTTACATACTTCGGCGCAGATTCGCATCCCGAAGGCATTTGCTTTGCAGCTCCTCGCGCACCGCATCCCACGTACAGAAAGATCGTAGGCAGCCAGAATAATCGTGTCAGAACAGGCCTGTTCAAGCACTAAAATGATTCAGGGTTTTCTACAGAGGACAATTAACCCCTGCAACAATTAAAAAACATGCCAGAGGTGTGACTTCACGCTTGAACCTCCAAAAGAACGATGGAAAATTAAACTCCTGGATGGAGTTTTCTCGGAAACTTAAGTCACCCTTGTCTGAAGGGTCCTTCACGACTTCAGACATCTGGTGCGATTGCAGCTCGCGTTTACCTTTGGCCTTTCTGCCGGTTTCATAACAGGGAATTTACCGCAGCTTTTGTTCTGGAGAAAGTCGGCCTCATTATTCACACATGCAAACAAAGCGAAATGAAATCACAATAGACTCAATATCGCCAGATAATTGTTCGGAACATTCCTCTGGCTCTCATGTTATAACTCGAGGTCAGGCCTCCGAATAACAGATTCCATGCTGTCATTAAACATTCAGCTCCAGTTGTTCTCCAAACTTCCTCCTGCTGTCAAGCCCCAGTACAGTTCAACAAAGGCAGACGGAGGCAAGCTTCGGCCTGTCCCTGCTCCATCATTATACTGCGCTCGCCGAAGTTACTGTTTCGTTTTTATGCTTCGCCTTTTTGAAATGAACTGCTTCAAGGAACTTGAAATGAACAGCTTTCTGCACTGTAATATTGTCCACCTGGATGTGAGAACTGGGTCACAGCGCAAAGCTCTCAAACACCTTCCCGTCAACACTGAATCCATATTCTGGTCCTCACAAGACATATTTATTTTGAAATTTGGTAAAAGCGTGCTTAATTTAGTTACTATGCATGCTATGATATGATGCTAATATGAGACTTCTGTACGTCTCTATCACATATCACATATTTTGCCATTAGTCACACAAGTCGATTGGACCACCCAACGGACAGATGTTTTGTAACATCATGCAGGATATTTGGATTGTCTTGTAAGCTTCATCAACCTGGATTTGCCCACACAGTTCTTGAGTATACTAGAGTCTGAGTCATGCAATTAGACTAAACCAAGCTCAGTCTCGCTGCATCTCAGAGAGAGACACCATTCCCTCTTTATCTGCTCGATGGGCTTCTGAAGGACTCGACTCGTCTGACTTTAATCTTTCAAAGGAGAAACAGATTTAGCAGATTGCAGAAAGTCTCGGGCAGATTTCTGGAGCCTGATGGAAACTCTCCAGGTGCGCTCCGGGGACATCTAGAGGTGGAGAGGAGCAGCCCAACATACAACTGATGATGAGCGTCAGAGGGGACATGAAAAATGTCTTTGCTTACACACCTTTAAAAAACATTACATTTTTGCAAGTCCTCTGCAAAGT